TGCACAAAACAGAGAAAGTATTTCTAATGGAAATGTTTAACTATAGTAGTGTGCAAAAGTTCTATTATTCAATTTTGTTATAATTTGCTATGATTAATTGATGACAACATGTTCTATTCATTAAAAAAATAAAATAAAGAAAAAAAGATGTAATAAAAAGAAGAAAAAAAATTAATTGTTTCAGGAATTTATGGTCAAGTGGTTCTACAGTTATTAAAGTTTCAGACTAATTTTACCAAAATGATATTGACATTTTTTTATGTGATAGCAACATCAATTCAATCAAGAAGATTTTTATTTTTGAAAACTCATTTACGCAATTTGTTTCAAGGAAACACAACTACTTGTCCATCAGTAATGTTTTATAACAAAACATTAAATTCACATAAAGGTAATGTAGCAATATTTATCTTTATTTTTGATAGTACAAATCTTCATGAAATTGTGCAACTTTTATGTATTTTAATAATTATTCATGTGTACTATATGCTTAAAATATTTCTACCATAATTGTACAAATTTTTTTGATAATAATACAATCAAATTATTTGTTAGTAATCTATATTATATATTCCAATGTTGATATACAATGTGTTCTATAATTAAATTAACAAATTCTATCAGCATATTGAAGAGATTAATCTAAGCAAAAAAGGTTATATAAATCATGAGTGAATTTGATTCCATTTTGGGGTTTTAAAAGTTTATTATATAAGTCATGAATGATTAGATACATTCATGTTATTTGATTTGTTTAGTATCTGTTTGATTGTTAGTTTTACATTACATTAACATCACTTTCACATCACTTTCACATATAGTGTTCAAAATAGTTAATTCATGCCTCTAAACATGTGGCTAGGTGTACTTTCATTAACTGTATCCATTATTACATACATAATGGCAAACATAATTGGTGATGCTAACAACAGCTTTAATTATACTTTGTATGAATTGTTCATGGCTTCTCATTTAAGCACACTGTAAACTTTATGCAGCTGTATAGGTATAGGTCTAAAGGAGATAGTTCAAGTGATTGAAAAGGCTATAGCACAGATTCATCTCATTATGGTCTATACCTTGATAACAAAACTCAATCAACCTATACTTTATGTAATCTTTTCGTTTAAAATAATTGCCCAAATATGTATGATGTTTATCTATTTCATTGCAGAATATCCTGTATACCTTGCATGTATGAGTGAAATTAATGAGATACCTTAGTAATGTTAATCTTATAAATTTTAAGCATATACTACTTATTTGCTTTAATATTAAGCATACACTACTTATTTGCTTTAATACAATTTCTTGTATTATTTTCTTGAAAGATTAATTGAAAATTGCTAAAAATTTAATTTGTTGAAATGTAAGTGACTTTACTGTTACTTATTGTTTCAAAGCAGTTTTGGATTTAATTAATTAATTATTTAACAATTATAGTCAGTAACTGTAGCATTTTGTAATTATACTGTAATAATGATTAATTGTATAATTTTTTTAAACTGTCTAAATAGCTTTATAAATTAAGATACTTTCATCCAATAACAATGACATTTAATACATTGAATATCATATATCATGACTTATGAACAATATTTCTAGTTGTTTATATGTTATCCCATAATTGTAAAAATTATAAGAAGCATAATTGATAAAATACACCTTTTTAAAAGGTTTATATTATTTTAGTGGCTCAATATAATATTCTATACATCTAATTTTTTTTTGTTACTATTGTACATTATATTAGGAACTTCTTTTCTTATATACATATATTTGTATTATCCAAATATGCGCTTTGTATTAAATGCTACTTTTTAATTTTGTTAATTTTTATACATAAAATTCACGTATTGTAAATAGTACTTAGACTGTAAGAGTATTTAAATAATCTAATTAAAACTATTAAAAACGTCTATATTATTGCAATAATTTTAACTATGTTATATATTAGTAAGTAGTAAAAGCTTTCAAGGTGCAGA